CGATAACGTCATTATTCGAAGGCTTCAAGTTTATTCATCGACTCAAAAGTAACGTTAATTCTTCATTAAGTAATGTAGAATAAATGAAGCATTTCATATACAAGGAGAAAATCAATAAATTTGCAACAACTATGTTGACTTGTACACTACTGAAATTTGTATACACAAAATTAATTAAATAATTTGGAATATACTATCCATAGAATATAAAGTGTTCTTAATTTGAAACAGTGTTACATATTCCGTACAAGACTATGTTATTTCTAGTTCGGATAGTGTAATATATAGAGATTAAATTTAATCCACAATCAAATAAAATATTTCTTTCAATAGAAAATCTCTCAGTCCTACAATTCATAACTAACTTCATGCAGATATATTAACACTTGGGAATGTGAAAAGTCTATATTATAATAAAAATATATATATACATATGTTATAAAATTGCTAATTGTATTGCATAATTGCATTCTTCCCTTCTTACGCAGCTAAAATGGTATCTACCGAAGCTCTGTTCCTAATTACTGCTGCCATTGGCTTAATTTATTTTTGGATCAAACACAATTATAGCTATTGGCAACGCAAGGGCATTCCGTACTTAAAACCAATCCCCATTATTGGTAACACTAAACCTATGCTAACATTAAAAACGAGTATTGGTCTCAATATATCAAATATCTATAATGATAAATCAATGAGCAATGAAGCAGTAGTGGGAATATACAGTTTCCATAAACCCGGATTAGTTATACGAGATATTGAATTAATAAAATCAATTTTAATCAAGGACTTCAATAAATTTTCAAACCGTACATTAGCATGTGATCCACATAATGATCCACTTGGATCGAATAATTTATTTTTCGTTAGAAATCCAGAATGGAAAGAAATCAGAACAAAACTATCACCAGTTTTTACAAGTGGTAAAATAAAACAGATGTATCCACTCATGCTTGATGTAAGTATTAAAAACTTATGTATTATATAATAAATATATAATGATTTTTAAATAATTTTTTTTTAAAAAGATTGCAACAGAATTGGAAAATCATTTGACATCTTATAAGAAAACGAATAATTCCTTTATTACAGAAGTAAAGGAAATTTGTGCTCTATTTACTACAGATGTCATAGCTACTATAGCATTTGGTTTACGTGCCAACAGTCTCAAAAATCCAAATGCCGAATTCCGTCAGTATGGACGTATAATGATGCAATTTGGTTTGCTCCGCGCTTTCCATACATTCATCAGTTTATATTTGCCGAAATTAGTTAGACTCTTTCGTGTGAAAATATTCTCTGAAGAGTTTTCCAAGTTCTTGCGTAAAACTATTAATTATGTAATATCGGAACGTGAAAGCAGTGGAACCATTCGTAATGATCTTATTGATATTTTTGTATCCTTAAGAAAAGAAGCAGCAAATGCTAAAAGCCTATATAGAGCTAATGAAAATGATTTTCTAGTAGCTCAAGCGGCACTTTTCTTGACTGCAGGGTTTGAGACATCATCTTCAACAATGGCTTTTGCACTTTATGAATTGTCGAAAAAGCCAGAACTACAAAAACGTTTACGAACAGAAATTTGCAACGCATTCTTAGCTGAAAACGGAAAAATATCTTATGAAAATATTCAAAATCTTCAGTATTTGGGAATGGTTGTTGATGAGGTTTTGCGTATGTATCCTGTATTACCATTTTTGGATCGCGAATATAGTAAAACTAAAGACGAGTCAGATTATACACTTCAACCACACTACAATTATGCTATTCCAAATGGTATGCCAGTATACATTCCAATATATGCAATACAACGTGATCCAAAGGTATTTTAAATATTATTATCATATTATAAAGTTTTTGATTTCATATTATTTTAATTTTAGTATTGGTCAAATCCAGATGTTTTTGATCCAGAACGGTTCTCATCAGAAAATAAAAAGAGTCATACTCCTATGACATATTTGCCATTTGGAAATGGACCACATAATTGTATAGGAAGTCGCTTGGGATTACTTCAAACTAAACTTGGTTTGGTGCACTTTTTGAAAAATCATTTTGTTGAACCTTGCGATCAAACACCATCTAAAATGGAATTCGATCCCAAGTCTATTGTATTACAATGTTCTACGGGTATTTACTTAAATGTAGTTAATGACCGCATGTACGATGTGAAAGCATCGGCAAAATCATAAAAAAGGGAAAGGGAAAGGAGAGAAAATAATATTTGTATGAAATATTTATTTTACCTTCTTTAGAAGATGAAGATAGGAAATGAAGTATTGATTTACACCTTATACACTGTAAGCTTGTTTTGTTTTAATTGTTATCATAATTGTTATAATTGAGTCATATGCAATCTTTCTATGAACATAATTGAGAAAAAATAAACTTTGTTGAAATATTGAACAATGAACACATTTTTTTTATGATTTCTGTTTGTATTGAAAATAATAACTCTTGTAATTAAATATGAGCTAATAATAAGGTAGTCTGTTGTCTATTTATATACAAGGGACATCTCATTATAATATAAAGTGGAAAGAAAAATAAATTTCCGTCTTGTTGCCTCGTTGAAAATGGAACCGACGCATTATACAATATGATCATGAAGAAACTCTCATAATAAGAAAAACGGATATAGATTTTGATTATTATAAACGGCAGACCAACCTAGATGATAGCTATTTAGGAATATTCATTTAACGAACAAAGTTTTTTCTTTATTAAAAATAACAGCATAGGGTCGATTGCCTAACTGGACGACAGTATAATTTGATATAAAAAAACCCTACAGGTAAGGGGTCAAAAAATTGTTTAAGATTCTTACTAGTAAAATTTTTATTCTGTAGAATCGAATATGTCAGTATTGTGTAATAATTGTCTATACTTACTAAATTAAAAAGAATGAAATACAATAATAAATTAATAATTCAATAATTTCGCCACACCTATGCCCTACTTATTATATAGTACTTAATGTATCAGGTGTCAATAATACCCAAATTTGTCAATACCCAAAGGATGAAATTTCGTTGACATGAAGAGCTATCTTGAGAGTATTTACTTACTGTTACTGTGGTTACTGTAGAATAATTCCATAGATTAATATTTTATTAATTTTTGAACTTCGTTTCAAAAATACAAAAACTGTAATATTAAGGAATAAGAAGAAATGTCTCCTAATATAGTAATTCTTGTATCCTTCATAACTTAAATTTAATTGAGAAATTTACATTCCCTAAAATCGTTTTGATGCGATACTAAATGTACATGTACATAATACCATTACAGTCGTCTCCACTTAATATAATATATATATAAAAGTATAAATATTATTCCTTTAAGGACTAAAGTGAAACTAAATGAATATATATAAAACAACGTTTCTCATGTGGATTCCGCAAGATCAATATATTAGAGATCAAACTTAAATACGCTATATAAGGAAAATTTAAGAATGAATTTATATACATGTATACTTTAAAATTACATTCCCTTAATATAATTATTTCCTTCAAGCTATACTTGCATAAAATTACCCAAATAACTCATTATTATATTTCAACGGATCAATTGTTAAAGTCCATCACTTAAGTTACCACAAACTCTGTTGAGTATAAGTCCTTTTAATACTAAATCGTGTTTTATGAAACCTAAAAGAATGTACCTTCGTTGGGTTTTAAAATAAACTATGACATTTTATTAAAGAGGAAAAAAATTAAATAAACTAGCTTGATATTGTTTAAAATTTGCAAAGCTTCTATATACTGAATTAAAAATTAAATAGATCATCACCAAATTCTAACCAAATTCAAATTCCCTATACAACAGATATTCCAAAAATATATAGATGATATCTACCTTCTTAGATCTGATAGTAATACAATGAGAATAATATTAAGATACAAAGAAAATTTTGATTAATGATTAAAATATTGTATATAGTTAATGGAAAATGAGTATCAACACCGAAAAACTGAAAGCAATATCATGAAAAAAATTACAAGATCAGTAAAAACTAAAGATATTGGTGTCATAGAACAACAGTACAGTATTAAATGCCTGGAACTTACATTTGACAAAATTATGCTAAACTTATAAAAATTATATGTCAGCAATAGAATGCCTTTATATTATCCAATTATATGTTTAAATCTACTGTACGATAAGACATAAGACTCAGAAGCTAAATAATTTCAAACACTTAAGATAAACACACTTCTTCGAAGAGTAATCAAGGCCTCCTTGGTACATACAAAATAGTAATACCTATATATAAAAACATAAGTACTCCGATAGTTATTTACGATATAAAGCATAGCGCACTTAAACCCATTTGCATTCATATAAAGTGATAAATAAAGTATATAAAGGATACAAGTGTTTCTAAGTAATATACTTGAAAATTCTTTAAATGAGATTGAGCGAAAATTCGAATGATACTGACTCCATGAATCCATCAAACAGTGAATGAAGAAGTTGAATATATTTCCATAATTCACTTCATTTTAAACTAATCCTTTAGTGTTGAATACATTTTATTAATTAATATGTTATAATTATAAATATTTTAGAAAAAAAAAACGAAATAGTTCTTACCTCGATCATTTTCTTTCTATCTAAACATTTTGTCGACATTAACAGATGATATACTAATTTTGTTCCGTATTGATAAAGTGTTGCTATCAAATGTAAATTTTATATTTTCATTATAAAATATATTTTAATTCTATAACACTTTTTAACATATTAAAAAATAAGAGTAATAAACAACCTGCAAAATTTATTTCAAGAGATTTTCGCATTTGTGCTATTCTAGAGAAACCCCCTACTCGGGTTGTGCCACTCGTTAGAGTAAATAACCGGGTGCAAATATACTCTTACTATATTAATGCTAATTCATTTTAGCCGATAAAAATTTGTTTTGAATACTGTGATAGTCGTTTTTGTTTAGTAAATAACGATGAGTTTTAAAAAATATATTGGTGTTTGTTATAAATTTGCTTCATAGTCTAATTTGATTTAATATACGAAAGTAATTCGGTGAGCACAGTCGAAATTAATTTAAACTTTGGTAAGATAACAAAATTAATAAAAATTTACGAAAGTTTAATTTTGATTTTAGTTAAAAAATTATTTTATACAAATATTAATTAATATTTGAAATGTGAGAATAGTTGAAAAAGTTAATTATTCGAATAATATCTATCTCTAATATATAATGCGGTTATTAGAATTAAGTTAAAAAAAGTTGCAAATTTTTGTGTTATGGAAAGCTAAAAGCCGATAATTATTAATTATGATCAGAATTTGTTTGTTGATAAACCACGGTCTACACGATCATCAAAAAGTACTTACTACCGCGAGACTGACACTTTTGCGGTTCTGAAAATTAGAATATAACGCAGAGTCCACACGAACCAGCGTTGTCATCGAGTTCGGTTAAATGCATTTTTCACCATAAGTGCGACAGAGTTGCGGTACGGTGGATTTTTTTGATGTTCGTATGCACTTTCCCATGAACGAATGAATAATTGTTTTAAATATTATTAGTTTTTTTTTTGAATACTATTATATTAAATAGATCTACATACATCTTCAAACAAATTTACTGCAAATGAGTTAACGTTATTACTTTATATTATGTAGTATATTGTGGAGTGTCTTCTAACTTTATTGAAAACCGTCGAAATAGATGTTGATATCTATACATAAATTTTGTATTGTATTGAATTACAGTGCATTAAGTATGTGAAAGTTCTTAAAAAAATTCCATACCCAGATTTAGCACTGATAAAAACAATCTTTTTCAATTAATCTAATTTGCTAAATTAGCAAATAAAGTGAAACTATACATTTTTTGTATATAAAAGATAAGAAAAAAGCTTTAGTTTCGTGTATATTTTTTGTAAAATAATCGAATAATTTAAGAAAATTGCAAACGTTTTTAATTATTTTTATTTTAAATTGTTTATTTTGTGGAATATCACTAATACAATGTTTAAATAACATTTGATTCTATCAAATCTAGTGAAACACGCAAATCAAATAAACAACTTATATATATTTTTTATATGATTATTACCCACCTGTTCATAGTACATACCTGATATTGAATTATCATTCTTATTGCGTAGAACAAATTTAAAAATTTATAATTTGTTGTCATATCGCATGAGAGATACATTGATTACATACTATAATACAACAGAAAAAAAAAAGCAAAAATATTTGTTATGCAAATATTCAAGTTATTTAATGGTTTTATGATTCTTGTTATATTATTAAAAATTAAAAATTATTCAAACAATAATTGCTATTATTTAATATATTTTTTTTGGAAGAATTAGAAATTATATTTGTTATAAAGGTGAATAGATCATAATATTGAGTAAATAAATAGTTTTGTAAAATGTGTCTATCTATATAGTAACGATAGAGGACAATATCGCCATATAAAGATTAATATAACATGTAATACGGAATCAAAGATGTTCTAATAACGTTCTATAAGTGTCTGAACATAGTTTTAGATAGTACATATAAAGGTTTGCAATAGTATAATTAACACAAGTAAGATTTCTTTACGATTCTACTACAGAACTAAAAATTTTTTTGTATATAGTTCTATGTACAATAATTTAACCAAAAATATCGAAGTATTTAAAACAAATTGAATTCATTAATGAATTAGAATTATACAAATACGATTTCTTTTTAAATTTCAATTAATATAAATTTTTATTTTTTTCTTTATATTTCTAAATAATTAAATATATTGAAGTCAATGACTATTTAAACCATATATCAATCTATCATAGTGCCGGTATATTGACCTCTCTCATTTTAAATTAATTCAAAAAAAAAACAAATAAATTCATTGTGAATCCAAGCAAACAGGTTAACTATATTAAATATTTATTAAAGTTAAATATAGTTTTTTTTTATAATTACATTATTATATTATTTATTATTATAGATCAAGAATAGATTTATTGTGCACAATTTTCTTTTTCGGCCTATATGCTTAGCCTTTAAATTATTTGACGGTGTTGATTCAAAGTGAAGAGTACAGTAACTGTACCAATATTAAATGAGATCTAACATACTATTCAGGGTCCTCTTAGAAAATCCGAATCCCGTGGGCAATTGAGTATTGCACGATACGTATTAATAAGAAAACAGGCTTACTATTCAACAATTTTTTTTTGCTTTTACAATATATTCAATATAATTATAAGTAATAATACAACGATACTGAAACAAAAACTTAATGAAACAAAAGTTACCAGTATCTATTGTCTTTTGCGTTTTTACTTTAGGAAAACAAATAAATCTATTTATAGCTAAAGTCCTCAAGGTTTCAAGCTAATTGCCTGAAACTGCAACCTGATAATGCGAACAATGTGGAACGGTATATATCATAATTATGTGCAGAAGTGAAAGATGGAAAACATAACTGACAATTGTTATCTTGCTTTCTAACTACTAACTAAATACCCAAGGAATTATAGTAATTAAAAAATTATTATAACAAAAAAACAAAAATAATTGACCCAATGATTTATAAGTGGGTTGTAATAATTTAATAAGGTATAATAGGTAGAAATTCCGCATTTTCCCTATACAACATAATTATTGACTATCAAACTATGGGGCTCAGTCGCTCAACCTAACACTACGATCATTTAACGTTTCAAGAATAAGTTTCAGGGCAAAAGTTCAGCATATAATACTGAACACCTATAGGTATGTTCCTTATGTTAGAATAGTACTAGAAATGAAAAGATTTAATATGTTATTCTTATTTACCACTCGAAATTTATTGAGAACAAGATTAAACAGCGGTACTAAGTATTAAATAATGTCTTAGTATGTAAAAGAAATGCAAAAGAAATCGAGGAAATTGAAGAAAAGTCTTTTTGATATGTATAAAAAAGAATAAGCACCGTTTTTAAATCGGTTAATTTTAAGTTCAGTTATCAATTTCTTTAATCTGTTAAAATTACATAAACATAATATAAGTAAAAAAAATTTTTATTTTTCATTATCATTAACTAATCTAAAGTCACTAAGTATACTCAATTTGGTTAAACAGACATACTATAATTAAATAAAAACTATAAATATTATAAGTGTTGTTATTATCTAAATCTAATCTAAAAAATATCGAACTTTTTCAATTAGTATGTATGCTTACGTCATTGTCATTTGTTGATAAAATCTTTAAGTTCTTCATATATAAGCTATTCTACACAGTTATATAGAAAATGTTAATTATTTATTATAAAAACGATTTTCATAGTTTTCTTCATTATCAATCGTTAGCAAATGAATGTGATTTGTTGAAGTAAATATATCCTAGTATTACAAATACTCAAAATAATTTATAATTATATAATTATAATTAATTTGAAAATAATTAAAATGATTAAAGTAAATAAAGAAATGATAATAATAATTGCCTTTTAATTGTTTTGCATATTTCAAAGTAATCTATCATAATATGCTTAATGTATCCCAAAAACAAAAGTTGTAATTTTTCCAGCTAATGAAACTATCTTAGCTTTTTTTAGAGCATATTCATAAGGAAAACTTCACTGTTTTAATTGCTTTTTAATCCAACTATAATTGCCTTTCAATATCTCATCTACACTTAAAAGATAGCATCCATCGATAAAAAATCTCTTTGAATTACACTGAAATTGCAAATACTGATAAATGCTCTTTCAAAATATTGTGAAAACGTTTTCCTATTACTTTTACTACATCAATAACATCGCGTTTTTCTGCTATCTTCACCTCTGAATAATAGACTTTATTAACCATTTCTGAAGTTGTTGCCTCAATTGAGCGTCTTTTCCGTTTATCATAACCAAAGCAAATCAATTTAATATCATTTCCGATGATGTTACAGTCTTCATTTGCTTGACAATTGTAAATATTGTCATATAAACAAAATAAAAATAATATAAAACCTATTTAGTGCAGTCATAACTGACTGTTAAAATAGTCTCCGTTATTCCTTAAAACTAATATAGGTATATAATAATGCTTTATATTTTTTCATTTAGCTAAAATGGCAGCTACCGGAGCTTTATTCCTAATCACCGCTGTCATTGGCTTAATTTATTTTTGGGTCAAACATAATTACAGTTATTGGCAACGCAAAGGCATTCCGCATATGAAACCGATTCCATTTATTGGTACCACTAAACCTATGCTAACATTAAAAACAAGTATCGGGCTATGTGCTTCAGATGTATATAATGATAAAACAATGAGCGATGCTGCCGTCGTGGGAGTATACAGTTTCCATAAACCTGGATTAGTTATACGAGATATTGAATTAATAAAATCAATTTTGATCAAAGATTTCAACAAGTTTTCAAACCGTACATCAGCATGTGATCCACATGGTGATCCGTTGGGAGCAAATAATTTATTTTTCGTTAGAAATCCAGAATGGAAAGAAACCAGAACAAAACTATCACCAGTTTTTACAAGTGGTAAAATAAAACAGATGTATCCACTCATGCTTGATGTAAATATTGAACTTATGCATTATTTAATAAACATATAACGATTTTTAATTTATTTTTTCCAAAAAGATTGCAAAAGAATTGGAAAATCATTTGGCATCTTATAAGAAAACCAATAATTCCTTTGTTACTGAAGTTAAGGAAATTTGTGCTCTCTTCACTACAGATCTAATAGCTTCTATAGCATTTGGTTTACGTGCTAATAGCCTTAAAAATCCAAATGCTGAATTCCGTGAATATGGGCGCAAACTGCTTAAATTTGAGTTGATTCGCGCTTTCCACTTTCTAATTATTTTCTATATGCCGAAATTAGTTAAGTTTTTCCGTGTAAAATTATTCTCTCAAGAGTTTTCAAATTTCTTGCGTAAAACTATTAATTATGTAATATCGGAACGTGAAAGCAGTGAAACCATTCGTAATGATCTTATTGATATTTTTGTATCCTTAAGAAAAGAAGCTCCCGATGTTAAAAGCCTATATAGAGCTAACAATAATGAATACCTAGTGGCTCAAGCTGCTGTATTTTTAACTGCAGGATTTGAGACATCATCTTCAACAATGGCTTTTACACTTTATGAATTGTCGAAAAAGCCAGAATTACAAAAACGTTTACGAACAGAAATTTGCGAGGCCCTTATTGCTGAAAACGGAAAAATATCTTATGAAAATATTCAAAGCCTTAAGTATTTGGGAATGGTTGTTGATGAGATTTTACGTATGTATCCTGTTGTACCATTTTTAGATCGCGAATTTAGTAAAACTAAAGACGAGTCAGACTTCACTCTTCAACCACATCACAGTTTCGCATTACCAAATGGTATGCCAGTATACATCCCAGTATATGCAATACAACATGATCCAAAGGTATTTTAAATATTATTATCATATTATAAAGTTTTTGATATCATATTATTTTAATTTCAGTATTGGCCGAACCCAGATGTTTTTGATCCAGAACGGTTTTCATCAGAAAATAAAAAGAGTCACATTCCCATGACATATTTGCCATTTGGAAATGGACCACATAATTGTATAGGAAGTCGCTTAGGATTACTTCAAACTAAACTTGGTTTGGTACACTTTTTGAAAAATCATTTTGTTGAACCTTGCGATCAAACACCATCTAAAATGGAATTCGATCCCAAGGGTCTTATTTTACAATGTAGTCAGGGTATTAACTTAAATGTAGTAAATGACCGCATGTACGATCTGGAAACTGGTGCAAGATAAGTTAATTCAATAAAATTACTGAAAAATAGAATTGAATGAAATTATTGTTCGAGAAATACATTAGGAATTTCTTCTTCAAGTAATTCAAAATTTTTTACTGAGAAAATAAGAATAAATAGCTTTATTAATTTTAGGGATAATTTAAAGTCCAATAACTTTATTAGTTTTTAAAATAATATATTTAATTTTATAATAATTTTAAAATGTTGTATATAACAATTATGGATAAAATACTGTGACATATACATATTTTTAATATTAATCTATGTCTATGTCTATTTAAAGAAGGAGAAATTGAAAACAATTCTTTGATTTAAGATGATATTAGTAAAATTTTTGAGAGTTGTTCGTTGTTTTGTGTTCTTCATAAAATTTTAGGCTTCTATTTTGCATTGTGAACGAGGCATTTGTAATTATTCAATTTCTTTGATTTGTTGCATACTTTATAAAAATAATATATATGACGCCTGAAAGTAGACTATAATTTATTATTATATACCGAAAGGGTTTCATTAAAATTTCATATGTCAAAAATCACAGTGACGTCCAAAATGTGACAGAATTAAAATTAAACGAGCTTTAGTTACATATTTTCTGAACCAGAAGAGATATTCAAATGAAATCTTTTCTTAAATATATAATATTTGAGATGGACTTTCTATTGAATGTAATTCTAACCCCCATAAACCACAACGCCGACAGTTCCATGGCTGATAGTCACTAACCTAAAAATATATATGAATATAATATGTTTACAAAAAATACTTGTCTTAGGGACGATTTTACTTTCTTTTGCGGACTATTACTGGAGCATGATTGATCCTTTGCCCGTCATAGACACTAATATTCCAAATATATAATGTACTTCTACTTATGTGCTTAAACCGACGTTACTTATCATTATATTTTACAACATTTCTTAACTTGTTATTTGTAACATATTTAGACAAACCACCTTAACGATATTCAAATTAGAAGAACTATATAAGACGCCAATAAATACTAATAGTGTTTCAAATAGATTAACACTAAATGTTATCATAGAAACAAGAGAGAGCAACAATCGGATTAAATATGTCAGGAACGAATTAAAAAGTAAAAATATATTCATTAATTGAACAAAGAATTATAATAAAATTTATGAATTAGTTTTATAGTTAAAAATGTAGTTGGAGCTAAATATATAAATATAAATACCTAAAGTTAAATTTAGTAAAATTTCACTAGCATAAATAGCATAACTCCTGCCATTTTAATTTGGTGCAGGAATTTATAAGATCTTTAATTTTTTAACATAGTTTCTATGTACACTATTAGATAATGTCTTTGTTTTACGTTATTTAGAAAAAACAAAATAGTAAAATTAAATCTGACAGTAAACTCATAAATTTCTCTCGGAGAAAAACAGATTAAAGGCAAAGTATAAATAAAAATGATTACATTACCTATGCTTAACATTCGAAGGCTTAAATAATTTGGAAATCTTTTCCAAATTTCCATTTCTTATTGTCGTCCTAATTTTTAAACTAGTGTTAATACAAATTTACTAATAAAATTCAAATTACTTTTATACAGTACGATATATCAGCTCGTTCTCACAATCTATTATTTTAACTATTTCTTGCGTACGTAAATGCAAAATAATGAAATCCTAGTAACTTTTTACTATTTTTTTACTACAAGTGCGTACATGAACAAGCGTAATATGAAAATACCAATTAAAAACACGTTTTAATATCCTGAACTGCAAATTTAAAATTTTTTTCTATTTATAAATGTTTAGTTATACTTTAAATAATTTAATAAATTTGATATAAATAATTTGTATTTAATAATATATCATTTTAATAAATTTGAAATAAGAATTTGAACTTACCGATCATTATATACGAAACATTCATATATAAAGCAACCCTGTTATGTACCGATGAACGAGTGTGTGTACATATATGCACACCTGTAAGTATTTTCATTACGGTTATTCAAAAAAATTAAATTGTTGATTGCTTAACATAAAAATAAGATTTATTATTTTTTGTTTTACTCATTTATGAGAAATTATAAACAATATTAAACCCGGTAATAAATTCTCGAAATAAAGTACATATTTTACAAACTCGAAATAATAACAACGCATATTTTTTACCGCATTCAAATTAAATAGGAAATTCAAATAACAATATATGTATGTACACCAAAAACAAAAAAGACACAATATAAATTAAAAACTTTAATTAAAATTTGTTGCT